TTTGGAGCTGCAGAAATGTCTAGGTATCCTGTCAGGACAACCATTTGCTGCCGCTTACCAGCAATCACCGCGGGTCCGGTCCTTTTTTTTTTTTTTTTTTGGGCATGGCCGAGGCATCACTTCGCGAGGCTGCGCCACGCCCGAGATTAGATAGATTAAAAAAAAAAAAAAAGGGGTAGCCCTAGCGCAGTCACGAAAGCAGTTTGTAAATGCATTTTGAAGTCCGAACTGCCTTTTTTTTTTGGAGTCCAGTACCGTCCCAAGTTTCAAATCCAGTCGAAACACTTGTAATGCAGAAAAGTCGCCAGGCCAAGTTTGCACGCCTATTATTGCCACGTTCTTCAGCTTATTTTGTAGTGCGGCCATTTTGTCGCGTCTGGGTATTATCGACATATCTTTTTTCCATATCTTTTTTCTTTTTCGCCCCCTCTCTTCTCCTTCTTCTTGCCTCCTCCTTTCCTCCATCTTCTTCTTGTGTGGTTCTTAATGCTTGTGGACTTTACGAAGGAGTGATGCCTTTTGCAAGGTCAAGTTTGCAACTGCAGTCCAGTCCGGCATGTGGCTTTTTTTTTTTTTTTTCCTCATATCTCGGACGTGGGCTAGGCATCGCGGTCGTGGCCCAGGCACGCAAAGAGATGCTCTCTCTCTCTCTCTCTCTCTCTCTCTCTCTCTCTCTCTCTCTCTCTCTCTCTTTTTTACCTCGGATGTGGCCGAAGCATCGTGCCCATGGCCAGCAATAGGCGACGGGGCGAGATCAAAAAAAAAAAAAAAAAAAAAAAAAAAAAAGGGGCCTTGCTCCACCATTCTTGACATGCACAAAAGACAACAATCATGGCGCTGTATCTTTCCATGTTCTGGGGAAGAATCACTCTCGTTTTGCACATTTGGATATCAATAGTAGAAACAGAGAGTGAATCTTCCTCTAGAACATGGAAAGATGCAGCGCCCCCATCTTTTCGTTTTTTCTTCTTGTTTCTTCTTTTTTATTACATTTTTGGAAAAGGGCATGGCCCTCCTACGTGGATGACTAGACTGCACTTACAAACTCTGCCCTGCTACAGAGGTCTCGCCGCACGGCACACGAGATGAATGCATCTGCTCACGAAAGGTGGCAAAATACACGTTACTATTTATAGCAACCCCATGAACCTGGCCATTTTATGCGGGAAGATATACTCCTTTCGTTTTTCGTTTCGTGTCCGGTGCGGCGACGCCCACAGCCACGCGACGGAGGAGTTTCGCCTCCAATGTAAACTTCAGCTGAGGGACTGGACTCCAAAACGGCAGTTTGACATGTATTTATTTTCAAACTCTAACCTTGACCGCGCC